GAGAGAGAGAGAGAAAAGAAAACTCGTTAAGACTGGGGCGAATGCGAGCGTAAATGCGATCGGTGTTTTTCGGTGTCGACTATAGAGACAATAATGACTGCGGATTTCCTATATAATTTATTACATTATGATAATTATAATACGATAGTTTAAACGAAAACGGTAAACGGTAGAGATCACTGTACGAGGCCTTGCGTGAAATCGAGGATTTCGTTCCATCGTGCAATCGCAAAGAGGTTCACACGTTTTAAACGTTAACCGCGAAGAAATGGGGCGAAAAATTTGGAAGAAAAACTCGAATAGAGATTAATTCGGTATTTAGCGTCGTTAAGCGTCGATATAGCGTAATATGCATAAACATAGCGCGCATATATTCTTTTAGCAATTTATCGGTAGAAGGAGAGAACATATAGAAATCGATCGATGGTACACAAATTTGGTAGAGCTACCTTACCACGGGACAGCAGGCTATACGATACGCGGTGACGCGTATTCTTCCCCTCTCCCATCCTCCCCGCCCCCCTCCCAACCTCCCACGAAATTTGTAATTAGTAAAATTGTATTATAGAATCAAGTTGCTACAAATGAGGAAGAGGAAAAAAACAAGAAGGGAAGAAATATGCGAACAACAACGCGTTAGGCCTCCGTTATCGCGAAACAATGTTTTCTATATAAATGATATCGAAATAAACGCATTAAATATAAATGATTGCCTATGATAGTATTGTCACAATTGTCTATGATAGTATTCTCTCGAGTCGGCCTCTCTTTTTTTAACGTCTTTTAAACATTGTCGGACTAATAAAACTTTATCGAAAGCGAAAGAAAGAAGGAAAAACTGTTCGGAAAACGGTTCAACAAACGAAACTGGTTCGCTGGTTGAACGAATTTATTTTCTTTCGAAGGAAAAAAGAGTTATCAAAATATGTCTGACTTTTACATTTACATCGCGATATATTTCCGCGATGTTTTTTAACGAGCGAAAAATACTATATATATATATATTTAAATACGTGAAACATTTTTCTTTCTTCTTCTTGTCCTTCAATCTCAAATGGAAAAGAGAGCAATTAAAAGGACCATCGAGGAATACTTGACCTTTGACCTTTTTTCTTTTCCTTTTCCCGAATCCGCGGCCATCGCGAACGTGCTACTTGTCCGATTTGACACATCCTTGACCCACGAGACACCTATTTTTCTAGTGTTGCCGACTGTTGTCGACTTATTTTCTATATATCTAATCGTCCAGTTCTTAAAAAACGAGTGAAATCACGTATTCTCTTTCTCGAACAAAAATAATTACAAACATTCTTTTTTTTACGAGCATCGAATTTAAAAATGTGCATTTAACGTGGATGGAATTCGTCGAACATTCGTAATCGTGCTGTAGAAGTTAAAGTGAAATCGGAAAATTTATTATGCGATTTTAGAGAAGAGCGAAAGATTCGCGGAATCGTTGACGGCAATAGTTCGAAAACTGTTCGTTATCGACATAAACGAAAAGATAATTTTACTAGAAAATTTTTCGTAAATATTATTACGTATCTATTATTGATATAAGAAGAGGTAGATTAAGAAACGTCAAACTTCTACCAACGTGTATTCGCTTCTTTAATCCGTATATACGATGGGTATTTTGGGTTTGCGCGCTACTATTTCCGCGCATCGCGCGTTTATTCTGAATCGTTTGCTTTCCCAAGTTACGTACTTCTACAACACGCGAACATATCTACCTCGTGCGAAAACATGCGTACGTCTATATGTACAGGTATAATAATATAGAACGAAAAAAAATCGCGAAAGGAAAATATACTCGAATCTATGATATAAATATAAATATTCTTTTCGTCATACTAGATATAAATGATAACACATGTAAATAAATAATATGAACGTAATTTTAAAATATTAAAGCATACGTAGAATCGTAACATTGCGATAATGATAACTGAGACCGTGAATTTGGAAACGGAGAGGAAGAGAAAGAAAGTTGAGGCAGCGGACGGCTCGTCGCCGAGTATCTCGTCATCGATCCTCCGGTCCAACAGCCCGACGTCTATTTTCATACAGGCTAACCTATTTATATGTACGGACAATGTTCCACTTTTATCGGCCGATGAGAACAGCGAGCAACCGCGCGTCACATCGTGTCGGAACTCGATATATCGCGTAGATTGCTTCTTCAGAGTACCGAACAAATCTGCATCGTGCTATTTCACCAGTTAACTGGTACCACGTGCTTATATACATTATACTTATATGCCCCCTACCGCTAACACGCCTTCATGTTTTACGATCTCCCTTTTCATTTCTTGACGTCAAAGAAGCGCTCTCGGAACGATAACGGATTGAATATCAGGAAGAAAAGATTGAGAGAAATATACGAATTGAAAATTATTCGGAAGAAAGGCTTTAAAAGTGAAACGACTACTTACCAAATTACAAGTTGTTATCTATTGAAAACTGCGCTGGACATTCTATATTTTCTTGCGAGTTTGAAAATGTCTTCCATAGCCTGTCGAATTCATCGATGAATGGCTTCACTAACGAATGTTGATTAGTCACTATTATGTGATCGAAATTCCCAAAAAAAGCAGACATTGTCCAATTCGTGCTACCAGTGATTAATATATCATTATCCACGATCGCGAATTTATGATGCATTAAACCAACGTAATATTCTAATCTAATTGTGACCCCTAAAACGCAAATAATTTCAAAATTCGATAGAAAAAAATTAATTCAAATATCATTCAATATTAATTCAATAATTAATAATAAAGAATTGAAAGTTGGTGAAATATATCTAATGTATATAATAATAATAAATATACAATAATCATTTTTCACATACCATTTCTATAAAATAAACCCGTTTGCGCGGCCTCGTTGCAAGCCATACTTCGATCCATTATTATTCGAACAAGTACTCCCCGTTTATGTGCGTTCACGATTGCATTTGATAACAATTGACAAGTTAACATGTACATACAAATATCTAAACTTTGTTTTGTTCGGTTTATATAATTTTCCAATTTTCTATAAATATTATTCACCGTTTGTTAAAAAAATATATCGATAATATTTATTTATAATTTGAGCAATCGTGTATTACCTCAAATATTGAACAGAACAAGTGTCTTTGAGACAAATCTTTTCATTAGTTAAGTGTGTTCGACAAAAACTAGATTCTTTTGTAAAAAACATCACCTCTGAAATGTCTTGTTTCGATTCATGAATATTTGTTTTCAAATCTTTGCAAGTGTTTGTAGATTTAATCCATAGGTTATGAACTTTTTTGTACAAATACCAAATGATTTCCGATGCAAAAACTATTCCCCCCACTACAAAAATTTTATTTTTCATTTCTAGAATAAAAGTTTCAAATATATTTGTATAATCGGAAATAACAATGAAAATTATATTAAATTTGTAAATATATATATTTTCGATATTTTTTATTGGTTTACGCGTATATACGAATCATGAGATGTTCTAAAATAATGTTCTAAAGTATAATGGACATAAGAAACGAATCAAAATGATTGATTTTATAACTGACAAAAAGAAAAAAGACTATTAAAAATAAACAATAAAATACGAATGCCGTGTTCCAAAATATTTAACCTAAAATATAATCGATGAAGTTATAATGCAAATTAAATAGCAATTATAAATCTCTAAAATAATAAATATAACACAACACACCTGCATATATACTTTTTAAGATCTTTAATTAATTCTAATTTTTACTTCAAAAACAAATAATTGAATCAATAGATAGCTAACTTTACCGCCACTACGAAATATCTAACTCTTGTGAAGTTGTCTTTCAGTACTGAAAACAGTTTAACTTTACATACTAGATCTATCTAGATATTTTCTGGATATTTTATAATAAGAATGTTTCTTATTCTGATACAAATGTGTTAGAATTACTATTTAAATAGAAAAAAAAAAAAAATCAATTTGATGTAAAAAAAAAAAAAAATTTATAAATGTTTACCTTTATTAAATATCATCAAAGATTTCTTAAAATACTGTAAAAATATGTAGAAAGATTCGTTAGTTTTGTCCCATTTGCTTAGATATAAATTCTTTATCTCTATTCCAAAGAATATTACATATAGTATTTAGCTGATAAGAACAGTCAAACACTTCAGATCTTATAGGAAGTTTATTAATATCAATTCTAATAACTTTAACTTTCCATTTGTCTTCAAATTCTTTTATCCGTGCATCTTCTATTGTAGAACTCGACCATGGTTTAAATCTATAATATTTTAAAATTTATTTAAATACTTTTATCATGTAGGAAAGAAAAAAAGATCTCTTATAATAAATTACTTTGTTCCTATTACTATATTTGCTGGTTTCTCTTTTATGGCTGTCATAGTATTCATCAAATATGGAACATCATTAAATCCTGTTGCATCATCAAAAGAAAATACGGAACATATAGCATCTACTTTATCTTTACATGCCTATAAGTTTAAATAATGTGATTCCTTAATATTGTATTCCATTATGTCATGTTATTATATTTTACATACAGGTAATATATGATTATATTTTTTAATGCTTGCTTCTGAAGTATCCCAAAATTGTAATTTAAACAATATAACTTTATCCCATATCTTAACTGGCCAAAATACATTTGTCTTTTTTATTCCATTAGTTTCAGTATAAGTATTAGATTCTAATATTCCAGCAAGTCGAGCTACAACAGCAGTTTTTCCTACTCCGGATCTTCCAATCATAAAAATTTTATATGTAACTTCTTCAATCGAAGAAGGTAAAGGTGGTCTTTCAAGAATACCTAAGAAATTTTATAGAGATAAATCAATAAACAATAAATATATATAATAAAGAATCGTTTATTTAATTATCATTCTTTACCATAAAATCTCCTTTTCTTAGATGTGTTTATATAAAAATGATGCATCAATGATTCTCCCTCAACCGAATGCAACCAATTTACGTTTATTGCTGTCATGAAAAGAATTATAAAAAGAACCAAAAAATGAAATTTAATAAATTTCCGATAAATATTGGCGATTACAACGATTACAAAAACTGCTACATATTTTGCAAAACAAGTTATCATGTAATAATTATCTTAAAATCTGAATGTTTGAAATTAATTTAAAATTCAATTAAAAAGATAAAAGAAACTCAATTAATAAAAAAATCTTGTTTTATCATAGATGATTTTATCAACTAAAGTATAATTTTTATAAAAGTCACTTTTTTTTTCATGAATTCTGATAAATGATACATTCCAACAAGTATGACAACTTTATCTCACAAATTTGCATGGTATTGGCGGTTCTTGTGAATTTCATGTACATATATAATCTCTCAACCAATCAAATAAAATCCCGCCTTCGAACAACCAATAAGAATTATTACACTATATTACTGCATGGGGACAAATAATTCCATTAGTAGTGAAGTTGGCGTTAGTTCAAATAAATGCCACATTGACCAATAAAATCCATGTACAACACGTAACGCGTTGTTTGCAGTTGTATCGCCATATTGTATATTTAACGCGGGTCACTGGCGCGTGTATGGGCTTTTCATAAGATTTTCTGCCGAATAAAAGTGCGTGGAATAATAAAAATCGTGAAATATTACGCGCAATGGATCCAGAAAAGTTAAAAGTAGTCGAATTACGGACAGAACTCTCAAAGCGTGGACTCGATACAAAAGGCGTCAAGTCAGTGCTCGTTGAGCGACTTCGTAAGGCAATAGAAGAGGAAAATGTACATCGTAAGTTACTCTCTTCTTATTCTTTAATCTTATGCTGTCCCAAATTTTTTGAAGTATGATGTTCGTTAACTAACAGCCTATATATTCAAGTACTCCAATGTTGACAAACATTCAAGTGAGGCAATAATGATGCATCTAACATTTTTCATTGTTTTTTCTTTCATTATATTATCTTTGAATAAAAAATGATAATATATTTACAATTATTAGAAGTAATTAATCGCAAAGAATTTCTTTTTAATATTTCTTATTCTGTATAGGCGCGAACTATGCGCGCCTTTCTTCTGTTTACGTACGAATTGTATATGCGACGCTTTTACATCTTCTATTAGTTTTGAAGTTAGCAATTTTTATTTACGTTTACTTGAATTATTATTATTCTTCTATTAATATCTATAATTAAAGAAAAATATTATTAAAAATTATTGTTTTTAAAAATTTAAAAACAAATACTATATTTATACTATAATACTATATTGATTACCTTTCTAAATTAATATAACATAAATATTTTCAAATTATAGAGATAAATCAAGGAAAAACAAATGCCAGTGCAGAAGATACACATGATGATATAGTTCAAGAAAATGATGAAAAATCAACAAAAATACCACAAACACCAAAAAAATCTAGTAGATTATCTAAAAGTGCTCCTGTGATGACACCAAAGGAAGACTCTGTAACAAAAAAACGAAGAACTACTAGAACTCCATATTCTAGAAGGAGGACATCTCCTAAAAAAGCTGATCAAAATGATATGTCTCGTGAACCATCTCCTACAGTATCTGAATCTGCTTTGCAAGAAGAAACTATACCAGAAGAAACTGCTACGCAAGAAGAAGCAGCTGTGCAAGAGGAAACTGCTATACAAGAAGAAACAGCCATACAGGAGGAAACTACTATACAAGTAGAAACTCATGCCCAAGAAGAAATTCCTATACAAGAAGAAACTCTTATTCAAAGAGAAATTTTTATGCAAAAAGAAAAATCTTTATCACCTAAAAAAGATGAAGAAAAAGAAACAAAAGAATTGGTATCAAATATAGAAAATAAAAATGCTAGTCCCATGGAAATTATACAAGAAGATGAAATAAAGGATATTGATCTCCCAGAAAATAATGAAAATGAACAGAATATAAGTGATTCACAAGTACCTTCTATAAAATCACCAGTAAAGTCTCCAATGAGGTATAGTGTTACTGATATTGCACTTTCAAAAGAATCATTAGATAATAAAGATGATGTGAATCAAAAACAAGAATCAACAACAGAAATCAAAACAAATCTACAAGAATTAGAAACCATAGATGTAAAAGAAAAAGACACTGATTCAGACATACAAGAAAATGATATGTCGATTACAATTAATAAGACATGTGATAAGGCAAATGATATATTAAAAGAAAATATTGAACATGAAGAAGAAAATATAGAATCTGTAGATAATGATTATATTGTAGAATCTATTAATGATACTAAAACTATTGACATTCCTGAAACAGAAGAACAAGATTTACTTGAAGAACAAGATATAGATATGAATGAAAATGATGAATTAAAAACTGAAAAGCAGTTAATTGAAGATAAAAATATTTTGTCTACTAGCGAAACAATTATAGATAGTAATATCGACAAAAAGCAAGATGAAGAGGTATATTTTATAAATCAATTTTTAAAAAATTTTAAAACATATTGTTATATTTCAAAATTACTTCATAAAATCAATTTGATTTTTTATCAACATTTTAAATATTTTTTCTATCACTTTGCAAAATTCGTTAACTTTATCTGTTAAATATTTGTAATCTGGTGTAATCCGCGATCTCAGCAAAATGTAGAGGACTGTAATTAAAATAGACTTGTTAAAAAAAAATTGAAAATATTCGTTAAATTTTAAATATTTTAAATCTTTTATTTTTGGAAATTTTAAATTTAAAATAAAAAATTTAAAAATGTTCGTCGATATACGTTTGAGATCGCGGATATTCTTCCTAGTAAAATATTGCGTCCTCTACATTTTGTTACATAAAAATCTTACTGTACCTACAGGAAATATTATTTTTAATCATTGACCTATTTTCGTTTACGTGGAAAGGATATAGAAATGTCAAAAATTAAACACGAAGAAGATACAGATGTAGATATGAAAGAACGAGATACGAACGACATCATCAGGGATAGAAAGCGGAAAAGATCTCCTAATCCTTTAGAAGATAGGCATGATTCACCTCCAGCAATTCTCACTGAAAATGAACCAGAAATTGATGATTCTGCTTTAATATTATCTTGGTGTATGTTGAAAACTAAATAAAAGTAATTCTAATATATAAAAGAAATGTTTAAATAATTATTATTGTTATTTCAGATGACTCAGATTTAAATTGGTTATTGATAAAGATGGATTTTTTACTGCTACACCTATGCATAATGATGGATTTTCACATATGTGGGCTGGTGCAAGAGCATCTTATGGTTTTCTTTGTGGAAAAGTTTATTATGAAGCAAAAATAGTAGAACATTGTACCATAAATACAGAAAATGAAGAACATCCACATGTTCTTAGAATTGGTTGGTCTACTCTTTATACTTCAATGCAACTTGGGGAAGAAAAATTTAGTTTCGGATATAGCAGTACTGGTAAAAAATTAACGGACAATCAATACGAAGATTACGGATTTGAATTTGGAAAGGATGACATTATCGGTTGTTATTTCGATGCAACGTCCGAAAATATTCTACTTTCTTATACTGTTAATGGAAAAGATCAAGGGATAGCGTTTAGTATTTCTAAAGAAGAACTCGGTGATAAACCATTATTTCCACATATTTTGAGTAAAAATTGTAGTTTTGCATGTAATTTTGGCCAAGAAACACCATGGACAGAAGAAATTTTACAAGATTATGTTTCAATCGGAAATGTAGAATCACAATATAAAATTTCTGGACCACGAAGGCCAGAGAAAAAAGATGAATGTGAAGTAATAATGATGTGCGGGCTACCCGCTTGTGGAAAAACAACCTGGGCAACAAAATATGCAACTGAGCATCCTCAAAAGATGTATAATATTTTAGGACTCAGCAGTTTAATTAATAAAATGAAAGTATGTATTATAAACGTATTATATTATGCTATATATTTTATATTAATTACTTTGATTAATATTTTTTAAGGATCCTGGATTATCTTACAAAGAAGGTTATGAAGATCAATGGAAAATACTTATTGATAAATGTACTGATGCATTAAACAAACTGATGGAAATGGCTTCTAGTAGAAGACGTAATTATATATTAGATCAGGTATATTTTTATATTTAGAAGAATTTGATTCTTTATATTAGTTAATTAATATATTAATTAATATATTAATTTAAATTTTTCATTTTTTTTATATTATGAAATGGAATATAGACAAATGTATATCCTTCCGCACAACGACGTAAAATGAAAAATTTTTGTGGATATCAAAGAAAGGCAGTAGTTATAGTTCCATCAGAAGAAGAATTTAAGTCACGTTCTATAAAACATAAACCAATAAAAGGCAAAGAGATTACTGATTCTATGCTTCTGGAAATGAAAGGTTGGTTTTAACTTATGGTATTCATTATATAATATATTTTCGTACATATTATATATTACAATACACATTGATTTTTTTTCAGCAAATTTCAGAGCTCCAGTTATTGGTGAATATTTTGATACTATTAATTGGGTCGAACTTGATCAAGAAGAAAGTGGAAAACTTATAGAAAATTATAATAAAGAGGGAAAAGAAGCAGGTTATGGTGAACAACAAAGAAGCAAACGACCACGTACTGACTCGAGATCAGAGAATGCTCATGAAAATCGAAATGATGTGCGAAGTAATCGTGAAAGAGATAATCGAGATTATCGTGACAGACGAAGCAATTGTAAGAATGAAAAAAAAAAAAATTTAACTAATAAAAGTTGTAAGATTAAAAAAGAAAATTATTTTTTACAAAAAAAAAAACAGATTCCGACAGAAATCGTAATCCCCTTTGGCGAGGTAATATGGGATGGAGAGATAGACCAAGAGGAGGTGGACATATAAGACATGGCAGTGGTTATGGTCCACCGATGTTACGTAGAAGAAGAGGAATACCTATTCCACTCGTACATCGTGGAATGAATAGAAGAGGTGGTAACGGTGATAGAAGAGGAAGTGGTAATGATAGAGGTCGAGCTTTGAATTCTCGACAAGGTAATCGATCAAGAGCTCCGATAGGGTAATTATCTTTTCTATTTTTTTAATGTTTTTCTCTTAGCATTTTATGCACATGGGTTAATTTTCTTATAAGAAATTACCAAGGATCACAACAATCTGTATGGAGTCAACAAGGCAATTGGTCAGGTGGTCAATCTCAAGAAGGTTGGGGTCAACAGAATAATTGGGGATCACAACCGTGGTGTAACTGGAAGGGCTATGGACAAGGCTCGTACAATCAAAGCAATTATAATCAACAAGGTTATGGTAATGGAAATTGGAATAGTTGGAATCAGCAGTATTATAATCAGTATTGGGGCCAGCAGCAACAGAGCGGACAAACTACGACAACTAGTGGACAAGCAGCAAATAAACAATAATCTAATAGGATTTATATAACGAGAGTGGAATAATAAGGTATAAAATATTCTCGATTCTATTCGTTTGTTGAATAGACATATAAATTTTAAGTTTGAAATGAGATGAAAATAGAGGACAATCGTATTTGTTAATTTTGATTTATATTTTGTCGCGTCAAAAAATGAAGATGACTCATACAATTTTTATTTTCATATAATATTTATCTTCATTTTATTATCGTTGTTATTGAAATAGCACGAATGATATTTATTGTATGATAGCATATATATATATATATATATTTTTTTTTTTTTCAGGCAAAATGAAAAGCACAATTGCTTTATTTAATGATTCCACAGTGGGACATAGATTTATCCTTCAAAGTGACGAAGAAAAAATAAAAACTCCAGGTCATAGTGTTGTCGATTCCGACTCCATCGGTTTTGATTACATATAAATAGATGGACAAATTTTTCCACGACAATATATTCACAATTTTTGTTCGTATATTTTACAATATACGAATTCCAAAGTTATCTAAACGCGTTTTTATAACTCGAGCAACAATTTAGATTCGTCGAGTGAAGGCACCGTTACACATGCACCACGTGAAATTATTTTACGTTGCAAAATGCAATACTAAATAAATTGTAATAATATATAACTACGATTGAAAAGTAATCATCGCGAAAAAGCACGTAACAAAAGAAACGTATTCGTACTAAATACGTAGTTTTTAAATCGAATAAAAGGGGGTAACGTATAAATAACGTCTTGTAACGACTTTTAATCGAAAAATCGATCAAGAGGAAGAATGTCACGTATGGGTACACTATATGCAGTTAGAATTAAGATTAAAATATTTACAATGAATTATCGCTCTCGAAATAAACACATGTAAATATGTACAGATTTTCAAACGTATTACACAAAACGTTTACTGGAAGTCTGTTTATATATTAATAGTTGAAGTATCATGTAATAAAAGAAATTTGTTCTCGATAAAAAGCGAGAGTGATATTGTATATGATTTTGTCTTATCTTTCTATACTAATGACAATGTACAAAAAAAAAGAATATCGTATTACGAATAAATTATTATTGAATTTGATTTATATGTACGCGCATTTTATTAAACTAATAAGGTCACCAGATTATGTTCTCGAATTGGATGTTATATTTTATAACGTAACTCTATAATCAAGAATATGCGATTGTTACCCAACGTACTTCCTCCTGCTCCTTCTTCTTTTTCGTCACCACTATCTTTTTCATTATGTTCTTTAACTACTTATATTTCTTTTCTTATTTCCTTTCCCACCCTTTCTTTCGCTTCGCTACATTTTTCCTTGTAACAAGTTTACAAATAAAAACATGATACTCATTTTAGTTTATGCTTCTTATTTCAATAACACTGAAAAATTGTTTCCTCACAGTTACAGGATGATTGTCTTTGTACCTCCTTTTTCTAAAATACTTTGTACAGTTTGTGAGACTTCGAATTAAGGTGTTTTTTAAGCTTTAAACAGCATAAAAAAATATAAGTTTAAAACTTGCAAGAGTGAAAATTGAAGTACGAAGAAGCTCCATCATCGCATACTACCACGATTCGAAGTCGACCAAGATCAAATAATAAAATATAACATTAAAGTATATGTTAATGAACAAAATTTGTTTTTCATATATGATCGAATAAGAATAATTTCGCAAAATTAGTTCATAATTGGAGAATTTACTTGTTGACAGAAGTGTACAAACTTATTCGTAAAAATAAAAAATATCTTCTATTTATTTAGAGTTTAAATTATTTACAACCCAGATTCAATCAGCGCAATTACCTGCTAGAAATATCCTGTAACAGTAATTCAGTCTTCACGCACGCTTAATATAATTGTCAACGTAATCGACAATGTTGACCTTGTTAATCTACAAATGTTGATTTAAGTTAATTCAAAATGATTTACATATACGCGATACAATTAACGACATTTGTAACGCATTTTGTGTAATTGCGCAGATATTTTATCATGCAAGATTACCGATAAATCGTAAGCTCTTTTAATTTTTTTGCTGCCTCATATAAATAGATTTTTATAATTAAAATAATTTTCTTATATTTTGAAATAATATCATATTTTTTTATAATTTATTTCCAAAAAGGAAAAAGAAAAAAGAAAAAATAATAGTTATTCATTCGAGACATACATTGTACTATTAATCTCGTTTTTGCATAGGAAAAAAAATATATTACATTGATATTATTTATTAAAAAATCATTCATAAATTTTTTCAAAAAGGAATTAGAATTTAGAATTCTACTCTCAATTCACTAATTTCTACTTAGTACGAAGGTAGGCATCTTTCTCTGTCATACTACAAAAAATCCATTGCATGGTGTAACTACGCTACATTGGTATGCTTTTAAATTATTAAAAAAAAAAAAAAAAATACCGAAATGAGACATTATAATATCACTTCATTCAATAAAAATGCCTCAGATACTGTGCAAAAACGTAGAAACATATAATAAAAATAAGACTTATATTATAAATAGCTTTTAATAATATGTATTTACTATATAATGTAATAATAAATACGAAATCCTGCGTATATTCGTCGTTATAGCAACAATTAGCTATATCCGACCACAATAATTAATAAATTAAATATATTTTTTTAGTAAAGTTTTATCTATTAATTTAAAAAGCTATATATTACACTTAATTCAAATAACACTGGGATTATGAAAAATATAATGGTACTTTTGTGCAATAAAGCCTCACATGTATTCGATTTTTTTCTTATTTCATTGTTCTCTTATATGTGCCGTTGTTATTTTCCTCAATCCCGAGTAATATATAATTTGTACACTTAAGTGTATCCACTATGAAAGAAATTTACAAATTACTTTTATACAATTTCGCGATTCTAATTATATTAGAATTATATTAGAAATAATAGCTCTCATTAGATTCAATTTGTTAGATACGTTAGATTCCACGTATAGGATCTGATATTCTCGACTTGAGTCGAAAACAAATTGTATCTCTATGCAATCGAAATCCTTATAAATTTTATAAAACACAATACTTGAAAAATAGTCCAAGAAAAAAAAAAACAATCGAACATCACCATTTTCTCAACAATCGATGTTCAATTTTATCCATTTTCTTATTTTAATCTCGATACTAACTTCCAGCGTAAGCAAAGAAAGTAGTTTAACAAATCAAACTGATATCAAAGAAAACTATAGAAAACTTTCTACTATAGTAAAAAAATTTTCTATAGTTTTAAATATGTATTAATACGTTCGCTGCGGAGAAGAAATCCCCACCACAGAATATACTTTATTTTTTGAATATTTATCACTATACACAGAGTTGTCAGCATTTAGCACAAAATTCTACACGTCATTATACATCGGATATATAGCATCGTTCCCTCACTCTTCTACTCTTTACGTCACTGTCAACCATTTTGTCTTGCATGCTGGCAATTCTGATCATATATATATATATATATATATATATGATATTGATCTCAATGGAAATCGTCAGACATATGTAACGTTGGTAATGAACGTATTAATAACATATACAAAAAATCTTGATTGATACAATGTCCTTCGAGGAATAATCTTCATGTTTTAGATTAAATTATATGAATGGACGGGTCATAGTGTAAGAAGGAGAAGAAAACGCATTACTGCTTACCGTTTTCCTTATAAAACGGATTAGATGACATCGATTACTTATAGCGAAATGAAAGAATTGATCAGTCGATCAATTATAGAATTAATTACACAGTTGACTGCGAAAGAGATTAACAATGATATATATTACCTATATAGTATCTATGTATCGTGCGCGTATCTATGTGTATCCATTATACACGCACAACACACACATATATATATATAGATAATGCCTATCGATCATGTATAATCCAATGTCACGGATTTAATCCCCCTGGCCTTTTACGATTTCGTCTATTTCTTTCTAATAAAAATGACAAATCTAAGGGATCTTTTTTATTCGGCATTTTTTGTAATAGTCCGATTAAAATATTGTTCAATCGTCTTCTTTGTTCTTCTCTCTAAAAATAAGTAATGTAATATATTAATATAATATATGAAAAAACATATTGATTAAATCATCAAAATCTGAATTTGAATATATATATATATTAAAAATATTATGATGATTACCTGAGCATATGATGTAGCGGGTGTGACAATAGGTAAAATTTCATTCGATCGACGTCTATTCTTGCTCGTAGAAGATTTTTGTTGATCCTTAGTGTGCGTTTTTGCATTTTCATTCGATTCAGATTTTTGATTATTATCAACATCTTGATTATTAGATTTCTTTTTTTCTTTATTCATTTTACTTCCTATTTGAATTCCTTCAAGACTATGGGGCTGTACATCATTTAAAAAAAAATTTTATTTCTGTTTTCATCATTTTTTTCAGTAATATTCATATATTCATATCATACTTACCAAATATGTACGATAGTGTTTAATGCGTTGTGGAAAAGTTTCAAATGCATAAGGTTTCGTACAAACTTGATGTCTAGCTCTGGCAACTTTTGTAAATAGTCGAGCAGCCCGATCAACGCGATACTCGCAAACGTAAGTATGCTCTGGTGTAGAACCAACCGGCCGTCCTTAATTAAAGAAAAAAGGGAATAAATTAAAAATTTTTTAATTTAATGCATTCTAATAGAATATGTAATAATAAAACAAAAATAATTTAAAAAATTAAAAATAATTACCTTTACAATACGTATGAGGATCGAGGACCCAACAACGTTCAGCAACCAAATCACATGGAACAGCTTCATAAAGTGGAGCACACACAACTTCATTTTCATAAAATTTTCTTGTTGGTTCGTGATACGTTTCATGTGGTCTTAAATAGTGATGACCAAATACAAATCTTTCACCTCTATTGAATCAAAAATAATTGAATAATAGCATGGGCGTAAAATTATCATGAAAACTTTTAACAAGTAGAACATTTTTAACTTACTCCGCGTTTTTCCAGAGTCTCTCAATTCTAAATATGTCCATTTGTTCGTAATCAGGTTTTTGAATTGTTTTGTATGTATGTTTTTCTGGAGTATCTCTTAAAACATATACGGTATCTCCCTGTCTAAGTTGTAAATCACCACGCATTAAAGTAACATAATGTTTTTTGCCTTCTTCTTCCTCGTCACCTTCTAATGGTATTTCTAAGTCCACAGGTCGTGGATGACATCTTTCACACAAGTAAGATTCTATACTCGTATCAGCTTTAACACAATCACAATGTTGCCATACGAGACAGCGTTCGCATTGAATCATCAATCCCTCATCCCTACGATAAAATTAAAAACATTTATAATTTTAACGTATTAACAGATAATAATAAAAATTATAACTATCACATACCTATGTAAACCACAAATACACCTGATAACATCTTCTTCACCCGCGGTTGAACCTCGAGGAGGTAAGAAACCTTGAGACGGTGGACAACCCGTTGCTTCCGTTATTGCATCCACGAAATCAGGCTTACTTCCCAAGTATAATTTTCTTAGTCTAGCTGCGGCAATACCCATTTCAGAAGTTCTTCCAAAGAATCTTACATTGTTATCAAAAAGTTTAATCATATCATGATCAAAATGTTCTGCAGTTTTATAATGGCCTGTACCAATACATTGATCGATTGTTGACAAATCTATAGGATCTGATATTTTTTCATAATAGTCGGGTAATTTTCTCTTTGAAGGTAATGTGATAAATGGTGTACATAATAATTGATCATTTTCATCTTTTGCAGTAGCCACTATACTATATAGATCTTTCAATACCTAAAAATTAATTAATCGTGAGTGTAAATAAATGTAAAAAATTAATTATGAATAGTGAGATCATAAGCAAACATTCTATTTTATCCTACCTTAGCTAATTTTGCAGTTTTATTCACTTCTGGATCATCTTGAGCTTGAGCTAGTCGTCGAGTTCGTACAGTACGTGTAT